CTATTATCGATACTCGACTCTGTAGGCTTATTTAATTTGCAATATTTTCGAGTTCTGGTTGTTATGCATCATTATAGAAGACAAGAGGGTGAGCACATTCTCTAGGCTGACAATGTTGTGTAATTTACTTATGAAGTACAAGAACTTGAAGAATGTAGAATTCTCTGATACAGTTGAGAGGTCTATATTACAGTTACAATTTTGATTTAAAAAGAAAAAAACACGAAGGATCTCAAGATGATAATAAGCTTTCTGGAAATCAAAGAGGAAGATCCAGTCCTTTCCCAATATCAACTCCAATCACCTGAAGTATACCCTTGTTCAATATCTGGAAAAACAGAAAATAAATCAATGAATAAAACGCCTAAACTTGGATATAGAAGGTAAAAGAAAGAAACTTTTCTTTGAAAAGAAAAAAGAAAGAAAAGCTCACCAGCTCTACTACGAATATCCCAATGAGGCCTATCATGCTGGCTCTGGAATTCCAGATTTCAGCAGTTTTAGTAAATCCAAGAAATGGGGCTTCAAATTTCGGCTGTACTTTTGGCAATTCAACCTTCAAAACAGAAATGAAAAGGTAACTCGCAAGCTCACATGAATTTATTGTTCTGAATTTCTCTAAGCTTTTCAGATGTAAACGATATTTTCAACAGGTGAAACAGAATTGGGAAAAGTCCAGTGGTTTGAAGAGGATAGTCAGCTTACTCCAGCCGGAGGCTTTGCGGCCTGAACCCTAAAAGGGGCACGAGCCCTTCTGTTATTGGCACGGACAGACCCAACTTGGAAGAGACAGAGTCGGCCGTCTTGACGATCACAGATCGGAGCTCTGGCCGGAAGAAGAGAAGACGATAAAATCGTAGCGGAGGACGCCATTACTTGGTATTGCCCCAAACACAACCACAACCACGGCTTCGGTAATGTTATCACAACTTTCCTCTTCAATTTCTTTTCTTTTCCGGAACTCTTTTTTCCACCTTAAATTAAATGCTAGGCTGTTGTCTTGGTCCCACCATATCTTGATGATTTTCAGATTTGTAAAAAGTATGTTCACTTCGCAGATTATTGTCGACGTATAGAAACGGGAATAGAAATTGTCCGTGCCTTTTAATTTTTTATGAAGATAAACATCCATAGGAAAAAAAAGTTCTTGTAAAGAATTTCCAACCTCAAATTCATTTTTGGTTAAATTATGAGTTTAATCTTATGATATTTTCTACCATTTTTAAGATTAATGAATCTACTATATATATATATATATATATATATATATATATATATATAATTGAATTTTGTGTTCAATAATAGATTACTAAATTTAATATAACATTCATTTTTGAAGGGAGTATGAAGAGTTTATAAAATGTGTTGCTATTATTGTCATTCCAAACATAGCATAGTCTATTGATGGTTCCATCTTTCACATGTAATTTTTAACTAAAAAAAAAGTATGCATGTATTTTTTTTCTTTTTTTCCTTTTTTGATTACAAAAAATTACATTTGAATTTTCTATGACCTCATGAAATATTTAATTGATTAAATTATTTTGTAAAAAAGGTGCGATGGACTTGGTCTCAAATATACTTTGAATTTTGAAAAATTTCATTTTAATTTTGAAAGTTTGAAATTGGTTAGAAAAACTTTTATTGTTAAATTCATGTTCAAAAAGTTTCATGTATGTGTTGTTTGTATGATCGATTTAAATGCATTCGGGAGGTAAATTTGGGGCGAAGAAGAAAAATCATAGACAAAGAATAAAAAAATTGGGTGTGGGGTTGAAGGTGTAGAAGGACAACATGAATGGTTCATAATTTTCATGTTTTTTTTTCCTTTCATTTGTGTTTAAATTATTCACACAAGTGCACACTACTTTTTTTCCTTTCATCTTAATTTAATATTAAAAATAAAATGTAATTATTTGTCATTGTTATGAGTTTTATGACGTGCCATGATGTTATGCTTACATTTGTGATAAATGTGTCTTAATAGTTTTTATAAAGATTGAGCCATAAGACACTTGAATTAGTATGATTTATATTTGATTTTTGAGGTTTCAATTCGTAAACATGAGTTTCAAGAAGCTTTATTTTTATAAGTAGAATTGTACTTACAAACTGGGTACAAAATACATTGTTGATTTCAGGTACAATCGCAATCTTTTGACCAACTGTGTTGATGGATGGGTTATATTCAACGGCCACCAGACAGAAGAGTCTGAGCATCGGAAGAATGGGCGAAACCCTTCACAAAGGAAGAAGTAGAATATGCGGGAGCCTTATCCAAGGAAGAGTAGGACATGGCAAGATCATCAAAACCTTCAAATCCTCCGCCTGAAGTATCTATAGAAACCATCTCTGGCATGGGAGTATCGCCTTCCAAGTACTGTACAATTTGGCGCATGCTTGGCCTCGCCATTGGGTTGGTTTGAGAACACAACAATCCAAGTTTCAGCACCATTTCCATTTCCTCTGCTACATAATCTGATCCCAATTTTGGATCCTTGGCGTCGACAATGGCTCCTCTCGCCCAACATAAAAATACCCAATCCAGCAGTATTCCATCTTCTGTCATTCCCCGAATCTCTATTGGCCTCTTTCCTGTTGCAACCTCCAGCAGAAATGCCCCAAAAGCATACACATCCATGTGGGTCGTCGGCCTGCCGGATCTGATGTGTTCTGGAGCCAAATAACCGAGCGTTCCCACTATGTGTGTTGTTTGAGGGTCTGTTCCATGGTCATACAGTCTCGCCAACCCAAAATCTCCCAATCTTCCGTTTAACTCACTGTCTAGCAAGACATTACTGGCTTTGACATCTCTGTGAATCACAACTTGCTCCCATTCTTCATGAAGGTAAAGCAGCCCCGAGGCCACCCCTTTGATGATTCGAAACCTCTGGCTCCAAATCAGAATAGGATTTGTTTCGCCAAACAGGCACTTATCTAAACTTCCATTCTGCATGTAATCATATACTAAAAGCAGCTCTCCTTTTCGTCTGCAGTAGCCTAAAAGCTGTACAAGGTTCCTGTGTCGAAGCCTCCCAAGACTAACGATCTCAGCCACAAATTCTTTCATTCCCTGCCTTGATTCATGAGCAATCCTCTTGACAGCGATTTCAAGTTTTGATTTTGGTAATACCCCTTTGTAGACTCGTCCAAATCCGCCAGAACCCAGAACCTCTTTCTCTTTAAATCCATTTGTAGCCACGTACAAGTCTTTGTATTTGAACCTGTGAGGCCCATAATCAAGCTCCCAGTCCTCGAGCAACTCGGCGAACTTCCTCTTCCTTCTGACAACATGAACAATGCCTAAAATCACCAGCAAAATAATCCCTCCAGAAATTAAAGGCAACCCAATTGTTAAAAACTTGGATGTTTGTTTTTTCCGAGGTAGCTTTGGCAGGTGGGAAATGTCAAGTCTTCGAGCCTGCCCGTTTAATCTGAAACTCCATCCTAAAACATAATGAGAAGTTGAAACCGAGCCAGTGGAGGATGAAAACCCGACGAACATGGAGCTGTTGTTTATGACAGATGAAAGGTCACGAGAGTAAGACAAGAGTGGAATTTGGGGTTTGGGTATGTCGATTGGCGCCAAAGTGACGTTGATTTCTTTGTGGATACCATCGTATTCGACCCAAACCTGCATTGGTTGGCCACTTATAAGAGTCAAATTTCTTAAAGTCCCATTGTTCTCGGGATAAAATCCAGCAGTTGCAGCTCTCTCAGAGGTCAGCCCATTTATATCTATGCCAACGTGATTCGTATCGATATCTTTCAACTCTAGATTCTAAATTGTGTCGAGCTCTACGGCAAAAATATGGTTGCTTGTGTTACCGTTGTTGCCGTCATTGAAAAGGCCAAGATGCTGACTTGGCTGAGCTCCGGGAAAAGTTCTCGTCGGAGCCACCACAAAGGCAATTCCATGGCCGCTTAGATTTGGGTATTCAGATATAATGGCAAAGACGAAAGTGGTTGAGAAGGATGAAACGCCATAAGAGGAATTGACAAAATTTACAGGATTAGTATAAAACCCATGGCCAATTCTTTGCCTGGTCTCGTTGGTCAGTTGCAGGAGGCCATTTGGGGTAACAACAGCCACACCATCGAGTGATAGATTTGCAGATTGGAAACCATTGAAGATGAAATTAGGACCTTCAGAAGCAGCTGAGACTACTGAGGCCACAATCAGGCACACCACAATTGAGAGCTTGAAAAACATGGTTTTTTTCATCTTTCTTCACAAGGGTCGATAAAAAATACAGGCTACAGCGATGAGGAAGTAGCAGGCCTCCATAAAAGATGCTCATCCGGAGGTAAGCAATTTCTTTCAAACATCTTCTTAGGTTATTTTGAATTTTTGAGCTGGTAAGTTCCACGGATTCTGAATCTGTGGAGTCTTCATATCAAGTATATAAGGCTCACCGTTGAAGAATTCCTGATCAGCTAAAGTAATAGAAAAATTAGACGAAGAAAGAGAAATCCACATTTTAAAAACCTTTAAATCCAACAATTGAATCTTATCGTTTTAGCTGTACAAGTCTGTGTATCTTCTAATATAAAAAAAAAAAAAAAAAAAAGGAGTAAATATTGTAGCAGATATATATAAAATTATTAGGAAGAGTAGTCTCCTATCAGTTAATGAAGAGGTTTTTCCATTAATAAGATGCTTTTCCGGAGAAACGAAGGGTTTTTATTTTCTTATTTACTAGATAGATATAGTGTTAGTTGTTTAACTCGTGCCGAGGTCAAATATACTAAAATATTTCAATTGCCATAAAAAAAATATGGATACAAAATACCGAAATTAGAACTACTCATGATCTTGATCTTGTAGACTAGAAAATGGAGACAGGGGAAATAGTTCTGAAATTAGAGAGCTTACCTTTCTTTTCGAAGGAAAAGATGAGAAAAATGATTTCTGGAAAATTGGGCGTCTTAGAGAGAGAGAGAGAGACGGGGGAGCGAAGTGGAAGATTGGAGAGGAGAAAATAGGAGGAGGAGGAAGAAGCTAAAAGTCAAACTTGGTTTACTGAGAGTCTTCTCTCTCGTACATCTTAAATTAAGATGAATCATTAAAATTGTGTGTAGAAAGTGAAAATGAGAACTCATTAACCTTGAAACATATGAGTTATGAGGATGGGAATAAGAAGGCTGAGGAGCCCATAAACACCCAAATTCGGCAGTCATCTGTATATGGAAACAAAACCCAAATCTTACAACTCTCACTCAGTCTCTGCCATTGAGAAGCGAAAGAGGAGAAGTGGAAAATGAAGCGAAACTCATATCCGTATCCATATTATTATTATCATTTCCGGTACGCGAATACGAGCATGTTGAAGCAAACGAATTCACAAAATCATCGAACCCTTCCCCGTTCTTCCCTCCCTCCACCACTTTCGGTGCCGATATCTCCTCCGGCACTCCATTCTCCCCCTCCAAATACCGCACCACCTGCCTCATACTCGGCCGCCCCGCCGCCGAATCGTTCGAACAGAACAACCCCAATTTCAATATCATCACTGCCTCCACCGCATTGTAATCCCCTTTCAGTTTTGGATCCATTACTTCCATTAATCTCCCTTCCCTGTAATTCTCCCACACCCAATCCACCAGTACCAGCTCCTCCGACCGAGATTTTGGGTCGATCGGTCGACGTCCGCAGGCCACTTCCAGCACAAGTGCGCCGAAGGCGTACACATCTGAGCTAGTCGTGGCTTTCCCTGTTCTGTGTAGCTCCGGCGCCAGATATCCCAGAGTTCCCACCACCCGAGTCGTGCTCGGGTTCGCCCCGTGTTCGTATAGCCGAGCCAGGCCGAAATCGCCGAGCTTTCCATTCATCTCGCTGTCGAGAAGGACATTACTGGCCTTCACATCTCTATGAATCACCACCTATGTTAAAACGACACGAATAAACGGTTTAGTTCAGCCACCTATTAGCTCTTCGAAAAGTTTATACGAGTTCTTCAGTGACTTAATAACCTGCTCGTAGCCTTCGTGCAAGTACAGCAAACCAGAGGCGACGCCCTTAATGATTCTGAATCTCTGTTCCCAACTCAGAACCGCTTCCGGCTCGTCGAAAATGTAGCTATCCAAGCTCCCATTAGCCATAAATTCATAAACCAGAAGCAGATCCCCACGGCGGCGACACCATCCCAGCAACTGAACCAAGTTCCGGTGTCGAAGCCGGCCAATGCTAGCGATTTCCGACACAAATTCCCTCAGGCCCTGTTTCGATTCATGAGAGATTCGCTTCACAGCCACTACGGTTTTCGATTTCCGCAAAGTCCCTTTATAAACTTTCCCAAACCCACCGCGCCCTAGAAGCTCTTTGTCCCTAAATCGTTTAGTCGCCTGCTTGAGCTCCTTGTAAGAGTACCGATGAGGGCCGATTTCAAGCTCCCAGGCCTCGATTATGTCCGCGTTTTTTATCTTCCATGTGATAAAAACAGCAACGCCAATAGCAATTGCTACAATCAAAACGGCCCCAACAGAAACCCCAATTGTAAAGGCAGTGTGCTTCTTCTTCGGACCAGGAACAGAAGGCAAAGAAGAAAGATCCAGGGATTGGGCTGGTCCATTCATACTGAAACTCCATCCCAACACAAAGTGAGAGCTTGCAAGAAGCCCAGTCGAGGCGGAGAACCCAACATACATAAACTCGTGAAGAATCGGAGAGAGATCTACATTAAACGACAGAATCGGCTTCTTGGGTTTATTGGAGAACGGAGAAAGCGCCACCGTCAGGGAATTTACAGCGGAATTGTAATCGATCCAAGCTTGAATCGGCCTCCCACTTTTTAGGGTCAGGTTTTGCTTGGTGGGTCCATCATCAACGAAATAGGAAGCGGTGGTGGAGGCATTAGAGACCATATTGTTGAGATTGATTCCGACGTGGTTGTCGTTGATGTCGCCGAACTCGAAATCTTGAACGGTGTCAAACTCCACGGCGAAGAGATGGTTCGAGAAGTTTCCAACGTCAGTCGCATTGAGAAGGCCCAAATACTGACTGGGAAGTCCACGGAGGTTCTTCGACTGCGCAATGGTGAAGGCGAGGCCATGGCCGCCGAGGGTCGGGTACTCGGGGACGACGGCGATGGCGAAAGCGGTGGAGAACGAAAAAGCTTTGCCGTCGGAGGAGTTTTTGAAGCGAACAGGGGAGCTGTAGAAGGCATGGCCCTGTAATCGACTGGTGTCGTTCGTGAGCTTTAAGATTCCGTTCTGCTCGATCTTGGCGATGTCAGTGAGGGTTAAGTTGGCAGCGACGGCGGCGGAGTCGTGGAATCCGGCGAAGTAGAGCTGCTGAGATGCGGCAGGGCCGGCGAAGAAGAGGAAGAAGAAGAAGAAGAAACAGAGAAAACAGAGTTGGGCCATGGGGAAATGAAAGGATTGAGATCTAGAAGGTTATGTTGTGAATGTTGAAGAAATCTGGTGGGATGGGAGGATGAGAAGTGGCATAGTGAGCGGATTTTGTTGAATTGAAGAACAGAGAAAAAAGCGAGATGAGAGAGAAAGAAGAGAGAGGACTGATAATGACAATTGTGAAGTGGAAAAGTGAGGAAGCAGCACAGGGAAAGGTTCATGTCAATTCACAGTTCACATGAGGAATGAAGATGACAATATGGAGGCTATTTGCCAAGTTGTCTTGGGAAGATTGCCGCTTTTTAGGTTGTTATATCAACTCTAACCACTCAAATCTATGGCCGGTAGCTATTGTCTTTTGGTTACATATTAGCAATTTTGAAAACGTGTTCATAGGAGAGAGATTTCCACTCTCCTACCATAAATGTTTTGTTCATCTCTTTAACTACAATCACCTTCGTTAATATATAAGTTTTAGTCACAAACAAAATCATTTTAAAATAGACTAAAAAGTACCCAAAGTTGACGAAACATGTTAGGTGAATTTTAGGCATTAAGGCACCATGTGTCGGAAAGGAGTGTCTACTTCATAAAATTTGGTAATGGAGCTCTCCCTGTAGGAAGGGGTATTGACTATCGCAGCCAAGCTTTCATTGTCAACCCTTTTTTACATTTTGCCTTCATATTTTCAAACCTGATTCAACCCTCCGTCCAAGTAATTCTTCCAAGCCCCACCCATTTCGTGAATTCAGTGATTAATTATTATAATTCGATTCCAAAGACTTATGAGGATGGAGAATAAAAAATAATTTTGAATTTTTAAACTTTTAAGGATATTTATTTTTAAAAAAACCATTATTCTTCGTTTAATTCTTATGTTGGATTTAAATTCAAGTTTGGGATTTGTTGTTTAATTTAATTGAATTTAAATTAATGCAATCAATAATAGTGGGCAGTGGCACATTAATTTATAATTATTTTTACATGCTTTTAAAATGCCATCACTTTCTCCACTTAGTTCATATTAATAATTACACTGAAAAGCAGGCAGCTAACTAATATCTACCCTTTTATTGCACATGTCGTGTTGGCCATTGGGAGATTTTAATTACCCTATTGTTCTAATTTATTAAATCTACCATTAATAATTAATTATAAAATCAGAGGCCTAACAACAAAATTAAAAGCTTATAATTTATTAGATTTTCCCCTTTTTATTTTTTTTATCTAACAGAATATATTTCTAAATTAGAAAATATTGAATAAAGATATATTATATACAAAATTAATATTTATTATTCAATTTTTTGAATTGCAATATATTTATCTAAAAGCGTTGTGGATTAAAATAATTTGATGATAAGCTTAATTACCTCTTACAGATGTGTGTGGTTTTGTTATGGCGGCGTCACACTTTCAAATTGATTGCAGTCTCTGATACGAACTTGCATCAATCCATTTATTGTGTTGTTATCATGGACGACATCACAGCATTGTCTTCGTGGTGCCTGAGGAACACAAAATAAAAAATTATGAATATTAATCAATTATTAATTACATAATATAATATTCCAACACGCCTACCAAATTTGTTTACCTGCCTCCACAGACGGCGGTCGAACTCCGGCGCCGACACGTTGAAATACTCAACCGACAGTGCAGACGCGTAATCCGGCTGCTTACACTCCTTAGTATTATTCTCCACGTATTTCCGGTAGCTGGTCAACGTCCGCCACCTGCGGCCGCCAAATCTCTCCGCCGTATCCAAGAAATAAAGAATGGGTCTTTCACACGGGTTGGAACTTACGGGTCGGGTATCGAAAGTGAAGGACTCATTGGCTTCTGTCTTCCACGTTTGGAACGTGAGAAAGGGCGTGTCCAGTTCCTTGGCCGTGGCCAGCCATGGATATAACTGAACACTGTAACCCCACGACACCGAAACGGACCAGTTACGAGCCATGTCGTAGCAGAAGCTGTGCTGAAGGGCTCGACTTGGGTCCGTTTTGTAAGCAGTGTGGAGCTTCTTAATCGAGTCTGGTCGGGTCATGGCTGGAAATATGGCCTGTAGGTAATCCAGGTGGTGGAGCGAGACCAAGGGCGCCACTGGATGTGCAGCTAATAAACCATATATGTTTCCTCGAATATCCACCTGTTAATTCAACCCATTGATTAAAATAATATAAATCAACATATTTATGGGCGTAATTAATTGAGTACAAAAATGGGCCTACTTCCCATAATTTTTTTGTCATTTTTTGAAAAAGAACCAACCTGATGGAATCCAAGTTCTTTGGTCAACGGAACGCCGATCTCGCTGATGCAGCCCTGGATTTTCTGATCGGAGCCGTACATATCAGCATAACGGTTGATGCAGCCGTCTAGAATTTTAACGAGCACCGCCGCGAGAGGGTAGCTAATGGCGAATCCGGCGCCGCCGTAGGCCATGGCGTAAGAATGAACTTCATCTTGTTCTACGCTCTCAGAATTGCCGCCGATATAATACATTTGATTATGATCGTATTTGCCCAGCATTTCCACCAAATTCTCGGTGAAGAAGACTGTATCATCGTCCCCCATCACGAACCACCTCACATTCTTCAACCCCAGTTCGTAAGTCTCCTTCATTATCCTAGCCACCCGAATTGCCGACCGAAAACCGTACCTATTAATATTATGTATCATCTAATTAAGCATCCGATGTTGAGAATGGTCGGTGGAGAGTCCCATATCGAATAATTAAAGGAATGTAAATAATAAATTTTCATACTATTAGGTTTCTTAAAATAAAAAACAAAATAATTAGAGCTTGAACTTTGTCATTTTTGAATGATACGAGAATAGTCAAACAATTGAAAATTCTAAGAATATAAATAAATAAATGATTAAATAACTACAATTTTTTTTAATTTAAACTTATTTTAAGTCGTGTTGTAAGGTCAAATGTCTCTATCCTCGTCCAATCAATCCAATCAAGCTAGAAATAGTCAATATTAATTTCGATGGTACCAGCAAGTGTAGTTGAATTGGGAGGTGTCGTCGGAGATACGGTAGGGTGGAGAGGATTGTGACCAGTGAAATTCAGGCTTCTCTTCAAGCCAAACAAACCCACGAGTGATGTTCTTCTTCCACCACAGCTCGCAGTAATGGCGTCGCTCGTCCCACGTCTTGACAGAGCCACCAATGCCGAACACAAGATGGGAAATGTTCGTCGGCTGTTCTCCGGCACCGAAAGCTTTCACTTCCCGGTGGTTTGAGATTCGGAGTGCGCCGTAACAGCCATGACAACGGGGGATTTTGTCGTATAAAGTGAGGTAAAAGAAGAGAGAAAAAGAGGCTACGACGGAGATGACAAGAAGGGTTCTAACGAAAAGAGCGAAGACATCAGCTGGCCGGAACACCATAAATTTAAAAGCTTTTAATGAATTCTGAGTGGACATTCTGTTCATTCCTTGGAATTCAGAATGAAAAGACAAGAAATTCATTAAAAGGGACAGAATTTTGGGAATAATGGGTATGAAATTGTAACGTGACTGCGCGTTCTGTTCATGTTCGTGGCACGTTCATATAGAAAAAGGTTTGAATTTTTTTTCTTTCTTTCTTTGTAATGTATTTTAAAAAATGAATGCGTTGCCGGAAAAATTATCAACAAATATTGAATTGTTTGGCCTTTGTTTAGATGGTCAATAGCTTTTTGATATGGTAGTATATCCTTCAAATTTGTTTTACCAAAAATGAAAATTTGTAATTTTATTCTAAGTTTCCATAATAACAATTTGTTCTATTTGACTTCTGTAATTATTTTATTTAGTTGTTAAAAAAAAAAAACAAAATTTAGAGGGTTGGTGAGTGTAATTATTAAGTCATGAGAGTTAATTGAATTGAGTTAAATATTGTGGGTTGAGGTGCTAAATTATTTAGCATTCTTACTGCTTAAACTCATCACTAGTAGATATTGTCGTTCTGCTCCTTATGTATTGTTATTAGTCTCACAGTTTTAAAACACGTCTACTAGTGACAAGTCTCCACACCTTTATAGGGATGCTTCGTTCTCCTCTCCACTTATGAGATCTCACAATCCACCCTTAGGGGCCTAGTGTCTTTGTTGGCACACCTGGGGTCTGGCTCTGGTTCTATTCTAACAATCTAATCTCACAATTCACCCTCTTGGGGGTCACCGTCCTCACTGGCACACCACTTGGTGCCTGACTTTGATACCATTTGTAAGATCCCACAACGGGTGGAGAGGAGAACAAAGCATTCACAATCCACCCCATTGGGGGCCACCGACCTCACTGGCGCACCACTCGGTGCCTGGCTTTGATACCATTTGTAAGATCCCACAACAGGTGGAGAGATGAACAAAGCATTCCTTATAAGCGTTTAAAAATCTCTACCTAGTAGACGTGTTTTAAAACTGTGAGGCTGATAGTGTTATGTAACGAGCCGAAGTGGACAATATTTGCTAGCCCCCGACGAGGGTGGATTGTGGGATGCCATATTGGTTAGAAAGAAGAACAAAAGAATTCTTATAAGGGTGTGGAAACCTCTCCCCAGCGTTTTAAAACATTGAGGACAAACTGAAAAAAAAAAAAAAAATCATATCTACTCGCGGTGGACTTATAAGAAGATAATAATATGCATTAAACTATATTAGATATCAACAAGATTCACATTATTAGGAACAAAGTAAATACAAGGGGATGAATCTTATGGATTATAGGTAATTATTTATTAGATAAGTGGTGGGTGATAATAAGATGACACTTTAATTGATTATATAATATAGTTGTAGCATTATAGTTGGAGTGGGTCGTAGCCCCTACCACTGGGGAGGGGTCACCGTCTCAAAGGGATTGCAGCCTCTCATCCATACATTCACCACATTATCCATACTCGTAGCATTCACCACTTGGCAACATTGTCTACGTGGGGCCTGCCCAATACAATATATATTCAAACTTGGATTATTTGGTAATAAACTATATACTAAAATGAATTCAGCTATATTCAAATTAAAACATGAATTTATATTAATATTTTTAGATAGTTTAGAGTTATTTTATAAGTCCCGTCCCTTCCCATCTTGACTCCCTAGTCTCTCCCTTGTGTCGTTTTCATAAATTGAAGAAAGTATTTTCCATACCTTAATCCAATGGGAAGAGCTGAAGGGTCCGGAAGTCACCACGCGGAAACGCTCCACTTTCTGACCTAATTGGAATTCGTCTTTGCTACACTCTTTTTCCCAAACGTCTAATTGCCTCTTGTAATTGGTTACCGTCCGATTCGGGGATTCCACCAGGTCCAAGAAGAACAGAATCGGCATCTCGCAAGGGTCCGATTGGACCGGGCGGGTGTTAAAAGTGAACGGGCCGTCGCTCCAGCTCTTCCACGTCTCAAAAGTCTGAAAACTCTTCTCCATGTCTTTGGGCGTGGCGAGCCATGGGTAGAGCTGGACGGTGTAGCCCCATGAGACCGAAATGGACCAATTACGGGCCGGGTCGTAACAGAAGCTTTGCTGCAGGGTCCGACCAGGGTCGAGGTTGTAGGCTGTTTTTAAAGCCTTTAAAGCGTCAATTTTGATCATGGTGGGAAAAATGGGTGGTAGGTAGTCCACGTGGTGGAGTGATACCAATGGAGCCACTGGGTGCGCTGCCAATAACCCATATTGGCTTCCTCTAATATCCACCTGGAAATCGTTGCGTTCATTTTATATTTTTGTAAATTTCCCCAAACAAAACCTATAATATCTTAAATCTATTTAAAATTTGACTAATTCAAAATTGGAAAATATAACGAATATTAAAAAAAATATAAATTATATGGAGAGAGAGAAGACTCACTTGGTGGAAGCCAGACTCTTTAGTCAAGGGGACACCAATTTCGGTAACGCAAGCCTGGACTTTCTGGTCTCCACCGTAGAGACTGGCGTACCGATCAAGACAACCGTCCAAAATCCTCACCAGCTCCACCGCCAGCGCATAACTAATCGCATATCCGCCGCCGCCGTAAGCCGTGCCATACAAATGGATGACGTCTTGCTCAACGCTCTCGGAGTTAGAGCCGATGTAATACATCTGATTGTGATCATATTTCCCCAAAACAGTCACCAAATTCTCCACAAAGAAAACGGTGTCGTCGTCGCCCATCACAAACCACCGCACGTTCTCCACTCCCAATTCGAAGCTCTCCTTCACGATCCTGGCCAGCCTTACCGCCGACCTGGACCCATACCAGCAGGTGTAGCTGAATTCCGACGTGTCCGCTGAAACTCTATACGGAGGAGACGTGGCTGGCCACGTGGCGTTGGGCTTCTCGTCCACCCAGACGAACCCACGGGTGACGTTAGGCATCCACCAGAGCTCGCAGTAGCTTTGACGCTTTTTCCATGTCTTGGTGGACCCCGCTATGCCGAATAGAAGGTGGGATATGTTCGTCGGTGGTTGCGATTGTGAGGACTCGACGGCGATTATTTTCCGGCGGTGGCAGTCGGTACAGTTGGGTGGTTTCTGGTTGAAGGAAAAGAGGAGGGAAAGGAAGGCTATAGAGCATAAAACAAGTGAGATTTTGAAGAATTTACGAGATTTTAGTGAATTCTGACTCTGAATCTTCATTGTGTCTTCCAACAATGAAATAATTGCCTTCCTATGGGGTTGTTATTAGGGATCCTAAAAAAAAAGCTGACTGATTTATTATTATTATTGGGCCTTTATGCCTAAGGGTAGTTATTGGGCCGTAAATTAGCTTAAAGGCCCAATATTTACCGTTAGATGTAAGAACTTGATCCAATTACAAAGCAGCTGTCCATTTCTGGAGGCCTTTAAGCTAACTATTGGGCCGTAAATTCTTTTATCGGCCTTTCAGAGTTGAAACTCTAGCCCATGACCCATAAGTTTTGACGGTCGAATTTTGGTTCAATTTAAAGGGAAATTTTATATACCCTTTTAAAAAATGTCCTCTAGATGAAGCGTAACGTGGTCAAGACCAAAATAAAGTACTAAAATGTACTGACAAAATGTTGCCGAAGCGAAAGTAAGATCGATTGTACTCACACCCACACACATAAATAAACAAAAGGACAAAAATTTTATCTACATTTATAAGTAGTAGCCAATCACTGTAATCAAAGTGTTTACAAGCGTATCTCTCACACTCGCTTACTAAGTATTTTCCAATTGCAAACACAAAATGACAATGATTTCACATTTCAAAACAATATTAGACAAACTTTTATAAATGTATAGTAATACTAATTCTCATACGTGAGTAGATAATTCATGTACCAATATATGAGATAAACCAAATGAATCAAATAGATTCATGAACCAAATCTTCACGACAATTGTAACAATATCTTCTACTTATTCATTTGGGTTGAGTTCTAAACTTTTAAGTAGGGGATCGATATATACATAGTATAGAGCATTGAAATGATTACGAATATAGCACCTATCATGAAGGATGATTCCATGTATAGTAAAATATAGTTTGGAATAAATTATATAGCCATTGAGGACAGAAATGAGACAGCAAAGTTGGAATGATGTTATGTCGTATTCCCATGATATATTATAACACAAAACGAGTAAGAAACGACATCAAAGGCCCATGTGCTCCACTGCTCCTTCATAAACCCTAATTCCACCCTCTCTCTCTCTCTCTCTCTCTCTCTCTTTTCATATCCATTAATAATACCTTACAAACCCTAAAACCATTCACATTCTCTCCTCCATCCTTCTCTATTCCCTCTTTAGCAAATATTTCCCGCTGTCTCTGCTTGGCTGTGTACAGAAACAAAAGAGACCCCCGTCGTCAAGTCAAGGGCCCTCCAGGGAGCCATTAACGCATCCCTTCAATCCCTTCCCTTTAATGGTCATAGCAATGCAAATTTGTTGTTTTGTTTGGATGTGGGTTTTAAGAAATCCAAACCCTTTTCAGTTCTCAATTTCTGCTGCCCCTTTTTAATGCGTTGTTCCATCACCCTTCTCTCCTTTTGACAAACCAACATGCTGTTATTAATACCCATCAATTTCCCCCCTTTCTGTTCTCCACCCTTTCTTTTATTCCTTCACAATATCATAACTACGTTCATTCCTTTACGATATCAAGTACGTACGGCTCAATATTTGGATTTACTACTTTTTCATCTTTTTTTTTTTTTATTTTACAGATTCATACTTGTGAGCTTTTACCTGGGGTTGTATTATTTGAGATTTATTTTCTAAAGTAAGTCATTTTTGTTGTTGAAATTCATTCATGGATACTAATTTACCCTAGATGCTAAAAAAGACATAACATGGTTGAGAGTTTGTGCTTGTGAATCATCCAAATGCATCACATCTAGGGTTTAGATTAGTGGGATCTCATCTACGGCTCAGATCTTGTGAATGTTTGATTAATCCACCACACCTAAATGGTGTGAAAGTTATCTTATTTATAATCAAATGAATTACAAAGATATGGAAATAGTAATAAATGGAAATAACAATAAATGGAAAGATACCTATGATAATAAAGCAAATATTAGATATTTGCCTTATAATAAAATATCAAATATAATATATATGGTAAACAATAATTTATTACTAAATATCCTTAACACCCCACCGCAAGCTAAGCGTCGGATTTAAACGAACGTGAAGCTTGAATCTGAAAAATTCAAAAAGGTTGAGAAACACTTTTCATGAAGATGCTAACAACCCGGTTCTTGGTCATCAAAAATTTGCAGAGGGATCGCCGCTCAGCGGCGATGCTGCCTTGGCTTCGGCGAGAATATGTCTAACCCATGAAGAGGGATTGTCGCTTAGCGACGATGCTGTCTTGGCTCTGGTGAGAATATTTCTAACCCCAAGAAGTAGAAGGGGAAACCTAGAGCAAGGGACAAAGACAATGTTGAAGCCAGAAGAGTCGCCACATTGGGCGAAGGAGCCAATTTTGGCGAGAAGGGCAGTCGGAAGAGTCGCCTCATCGGGCGAAGAAGCCAATTTTGGCAGGAAGGGCGGCGGCAACTTGGTTGGCGAATAGGCCAGTGCGGCACCCATATTCCGAAGGTAAATCTCTGCAAAAGGTTGATAAGTTTAGGTTAGGGTTTATGTGAAGGATGAAGGTTTATTGGGAAGAAAATGAGAGAGACTATATTGGCCAAGGGGAAAACCGATTGGGTTGGAAAAGGTGAGGTTGTATGTACAGAGTATGACGAAAGGTGATTTGGAGGTCAATAGGGTGGAGCCGAAGAGTAATCAATCGGCTCCGACTACGGCAGCCATGAAGACTGCCCCTGCGGCGTCAAAACCAGCAGGGGTGGTGGAGAAGAAGATTAGAGGATTCAAAAGCCATTGAAAAGAAAGAATCGGGTTGTTAAACCAAGAGGGCTCTGATACCATGTGAATGTTTGATTAATCCACCACACCTAAATGGTGTGAAAGTTATCTTATTTATAATCAAATGAATTACAAAGATATGGAAATAGTAATAAATGGAAATAACAATAAATGGAAAGATACCTATGATAATAAAGCAAATATTAGATATTTGCCTTATAATAAAATAACAATCCGTCTTCCTCTTCTTGCAACTGGTGTCCACCCCCGCCTCCTCCCGACCACTGTCATCGTCAAACAAACTTGATGTCGGCCAAGGTGGTCCGAAACTGAAATTCAACCCGTCATCCAAAATCCCAATTCCAGCGTGATCGTTGTCTCTAACCCTAGTGCAAGAATTTGTCAAATTCTCGTCTTTCCCCGCCTTTGAAGTTAGTCGGTTCGGGGGCGGTGGATGGACCAAATAGGGTTTAGGGGTAGGAAGATGATGAGAAAAAGTAGAAGAAGAAGAAGAAGAAGAAGAAGGGGAATGAAAGGGGAAGGAATTAGTGAAAGGGTTGTGATTGGGAGTACTTGGGGATTGCTTCAGTCTAGCCCTATCTCGTCTGTGGACATTCATGTGGCCGCCCAAGGCTTGAGCTGAACGGAACTCTCTTCTACAAAAGGAGCAAGAATAAGAGCGTGGCGGCCAAACGCAGCCTCCGAGGCGGCCAGCAGCATCTTCAGCAAAGGCTTGCTCTTCCCATGAGAAGGGGTCCTCATATCCAAAGGGGGTTTTGGTTTTGGAAGATTGAGAATCCACAGAATCATCAAAATCATGTGTTTGTCTCTCTTCTTGTTGCTTCCTCCACATCCAATACAATCTGTGGGTTTACAACTCAGAAACCGGTTCAGAATTTGGAATCCAAGAAAAAGGGTTTGGTAATAAAAAAAATAAATAATGGGAATCTTTCAGATAGAGAGAGAAAGAGAGGAGATGGGATAGCTACACAACAACTGCAAAATGGCTCTCAAAAACACTGCGAAACTCATCTCTTGGGGTAGCCTAATTATATGAAACCAAATTCTTTTTCTTTTCTTTTCTTTTCTTTTCTTTTCTTTATTTTCTCGGTTCATTTCGTATAGTTTTTGGCACACAATTATTTGGCAGCTGCCTCATATATGATTCTAACCCCTCATTTTTATTTTTATTTTTATGCTTTTTAATGAATTTGACGATGTAACATGTCTTGTTTTACTAACATTTGGTAAGTATTAATAAAATGACTTAATCTTTGAGATTTAGTTATAATATTAATCCAACATTACGAAATTGAATAACTGAAGTATAAGGGGGTTTTTTGTTTTCAAACTATAAGGTATAGACAATTCTTGCTCTAATTGGACCAACAAAATATGAACCATTATGTTTCCTACATTTACTCATATATTAATGAGCTTCCAATATTTGGTTTTAAATCACTGAATCACAACATAATGGTTTACTTAACACAAAATCAATCCTTTTTAAAATATTTAAATAGTTAGTCGTTTGAAATTAATCATTTTTTTTTTATAATTCAATAATTTTTTAATGATAATTTGTCGAAAAAAAATATCTTAAATAATTAATTATAATAATCTTGTAAGTTAAGATCAATTGATCAATTGAGTTTATTCAAAATAAATAATATTTTTTTATTAAGTCAAGTTGTTAAAATAATTTTGATTTATTTTTTATGCACAAGTATATTATAAATAATACGCTTTAGGTATTTTTAGTTTATTTAGCTGTCAAAGTTAATAATTATTTTTAAACAACAAAAGAAACTTTTACATGTACTACAATAATCAATGATTAATTATACATGTTATATTTAAAAAAAAAAAAATCAAATATAATTAATGGATCTTGTTCCTCCCAACATAATCACATATATTTCAATTTATTATTATTTATTCTCTATTTCATCTCCCAACTCCTCAGAAATTTGAAATCTCGAAAGTTATTAGATAAAATTAAATTTTTTATTAATAAAAAACAAAATGAAAAAGAAGCTACAAAACCATTTCATTGTTAAAAGCAAAATTTTATTTTGAGAACGCGTTATGCTCTGTATGGGCCTCGTCGCCTCAGTAAATCGGGCTGGGATTGTGGGCTTTTTAGGATCTTTGAAGCCCAGCTCAAAAACCGACCACACGGTCCACACAAAAAGAACTGTGGGATAGAAGCCCATAACATGGGAGAATATGTTTTTTTTTTTTTTTTTCGTTTAATATTTTTGTAGACGTATTTTTAAAAAGAAGTCGAAAAAAAAAACATCAAATGATATAAAATAAGAGATTTGACATGCAACTAGCATGTCGCTATGGACAGTAAGATTTGAACAACACACTCATATAGTACCCTCGTGGAAGGAAGAAAGGGAACGACATAAATTGTGAGAATCTTTTTCTCTCCAAATTTTAATATTATCTTTCCGATCTCTTCAATATCCATTTCATTCTTCAATTCGCTGCAGATGAGTTCCCCGATTCAAAGATGGTCTCTCAACGGCTTCACCGCTCTCGTCACCGGCGGAACCCGAGGCATTGGGTCGCCCTCCAATCATTATCAATCCCACTTCTCATGTCATTCATCTATTTATGTTCTTACTTCTTTTGTTTTATTTTGTTTTCAGATACGCCATAGTTGAAGAGCTTGCTTCACTTGGGGCTGCCGTACACACCTGTTCGCGTACCCAAACAGAGCTGGACCAGAGGGTTAAAGAATGGGAGCGAAAGGGGTTCGAAGTCAGTGGCTCTGTTTGTGATCTCTCTTCAAGATCTCACCGAGAGCAGCTCATTACCACTGTCTCTTCCATCTTCAATGGAAAGCTCAACATTCTCGTAATTCTATCTCTCATTTATTTTCTTTACAAACCCAAAATGCTCAAATTCTGAAAATGGGTGGTTGGTTTTAAGGTGAACAACGCAGGGACGATAACACTGAAATCAGCAGCAGAGCACACCACCGAAGATTACAATAATATAATGAGCACCAATTTTGAGGCCCCTTATCATCTCTCCCAAATTTCGTATCCATTTTTGAAGGCGTCTGGTTATGGAAGTATTGTTTTTGTGTCGTCCGTTGCAGGAGTCGTCGCTTTACCAAAAGTATCAATCTATGCGGCATCCAAAGGTATGGGGTTAGATAAATCTGTGGGTAATGAATGATTGGAAGATTCAAGATTGTTCTTTGACGGTTTGTGGGTTTGTACTTCGATTGCAGGGGCGATTAACCAAATCACGAAGAACTTGGCGTGCGAATGGGCGAAGGATAATATTCGTATCAACACTGTGGCTCCGTGGGCCGTGAAGACTACAATTTCTAAGCCGGATGCGGCGGTTGTGGAGGAATATAGTCGGCTGCTGGAGCGGACACCGGCGGGTCGAATTGGAGAGGCGAATGAGATATCTTCAGTAGTGGCGTTTCTGTGCCTTCCTGCGGCTTCTTACATGACTGGGCAGGTCATTTGTGTGGATGGTGGGTACACAGCCGGTGGGGGCTAGACTTTAGTATGGGCTGTGCATTTGTGTGGTGTAGTGTAACAATGTTTCAGTTTATGTGTATCATCGAAAGTGGCAAAACGTTAAACAGTAGGCACAATGTCTCAGTCTGAAAGAAAATAAAATGTATTAATCGGCCATGTGATGTGATAAGGTCCTCCTTTGGGCATTCATTTTCTATTTTAAGTTTCGGACAAAAGATGAATTAATATCATATCCTCCTCGGTGGTTGAATTAAAACCCAAAGCATGGTGCATGAATCACGTGGTCGCCTTAAGGCGGTGGGTCAGTAACTTAAAACTCCATATATCTTACATCCAAACCCAACAACGCATCAGCCATTGCCAACAGCTGACACCAAAGATGCCCTCTCAAGGAGCCTCCTAAAATGGAGCGTCTATCATTTCTTTGACACTATTCATATCAGTTTAATAATCACGACATTCCACATTAATATGATATTATTCGTATCATGTCCAACCAAAGTTCCTGATACCTTCTTTAGAGCTCTCAAATAACTTCTCTTTAATCAAAACTCGACTCCTTATCTAGAACTTTTTTTGTTTGACAATTGAATTGAGGATTCCACTCATTCACCCGCCTGAGGTCTCAAATATAATAACACACTAAAAATACTCAAAAACTTGAATTAGCAAAAGAAAAAAAATGCCATAAAGGTGAATCTAATATTTATAAGATTATAGTATATACAGATTTCAGTTGCATGCAAATAAACGTATGCGTGCATGTTTCCAGTCTTTTGGGTTTGATCAAATTTTGCAGGTCGACTATACATTACAAGGAAAACGTTACTTTTTGAACATCAAATGTTTCACTCTCTATCAACTTCACCATCATATCTACTTGATGTGGAGGATGTGGCTCATATCCTGCATGACAGTGGATTTCTTTGGCGCTGGAGAAGATGCATCAGAGGCCAGAAAACATCCATTCTATGAAACCCCCTTGGAGCCTGTTAGAAAGTTCAACAAAAACGTTAACTTTACGTTCGCCAATTTGAATAGAACTATAAACTCCATACCTCCACAACGAAATGAGCCCGAGAGTTGTTTGAATGGCGTTCAACCACACCTTTCAATATTGTTAATTCCAAATTTCGGATTATTTGAGCGATCTCTAAGAACAGTTCCGTGTCATTGCATAGCATCTACAGGGTGTTGATATTGATAAATAGTATTAAAACAGACGCTAGCAGCTTCTGAGAAAAAGACATTTAAAAGGAAATCAACAAAAACCTTTATAAGCATGTGTCCATGGTATTCTAGATCCTCTACAACTATGGGGCAAACTTGGAGCTCACTCCCAATATCAAACGCCCGGGTCCAACTTGTCCCATTTGATTGAAAGCTCTCATCCCCAAGATCAGTGCAATACTCAGAATCAAAACCCTATAAAAGCATTTCAAGGCATTCAAGTAGTATAATAAATTCTAAGGCTAAAAGACATTTATTCATATATATACCTCTTCTTGCTGGGCTAGTTGCTTCAGTTTCTCAGCTTGGTCAGTTACCCGTTGCAAGTATAGCATGTGCTTTATGGTTTTCTCTAAGAGACCGTCGATGCTGCACTGTTTGCCATTAGACAAAAAGGAAAACTTAGGGAAAAGAAGCAAACAAAACTCAAATTGACACACCGCGGAAGTTCTTAAGAGTACACATACCTTAGCACCATTTGGGACCATTTGCCTTAACTCTTTGATACGATCCTGGATCAATTGTCTATCCCTTGGCCTTTGTCTTGTCTTAGAAGTCATTTTGATGTCAGGGCTACAATTGAAACGTTTCATCCCTTTCCTATGTCGAGTGATGTCACGGTCATTTTCTTCCAGCTCGTTGATGACTGTAGAGTTCGATGTCGACAAACTAGTTAAAGTTTTCCTGCCTATTTCAGTCGCCGTGGATTCAGGAAAGATCCATAGGGCTGGATCATCCATTACCATTGCGCTTGATTCAGATTCACATGTTTTAGCAGAAAGACTTGAATTTCTTTCGACCGGGGCAATTCTGCCATTGATTGTGTTATTCGAAAATGTATCGACTGAATTAGGAAATGCAGGCATCATAGCATCCAGGAGAAGCTCAATATCACCTTCCTTGAAATCTCTACTGCACAACAAACTTGCGGTTGTATCGTTGATTGTGCTAGATAAATCATATGAGAAATCAGTACTATGTTTCTGTGCAAAAAATGCTGGTCCAAATGCTTTCTGTAGTTCACAGTCATCAGGAAAGCTAAATAAACTATCTGCAGTGCCATATTCTTTCTTGGTCACAAGATTATGTCCTGATTGTTGTTCAACTACATTGTCCACAGGATAAGAGTTGACAATTCGAGGAGTACTCTCAATTAATCCAGTCTCATCGTTTCTCAACCGACTGCAAGGTGGTAGCAGTGATTCCAGTGAAAATAAATCAGAAAACTCCAGCTCACTAGCTCTAATAGATTGATAAAGTGGAGTA